GTCTAACGCCCCCACCCCCGGAATGTGTGACTCAGGGAGGAGAGTCAGGCCGTCAACAGGGCACCTGAGGCTCACCAAGGTCACCCAGAAAACCTCCCGGACTCCGGGTCTCAGGGCCCCTGTCTGCCGGGTCCTCTCCCCCCGCCCCCGGCCGTGCAGTCAGTCATTGGATGAGGGCCCAGCTCTTCCCTCGTCCCCTGGAGGAGAGGCTCCCACGCGAGCGTGAGCGTGTGCGTGTGCGTGAGCGTGTGCGTGAGCCTGTGCGTGGGTGCTGCAGGCTGCGAGGGCCCTGCCAGCGCTCCGAAGGACACTCACCATTGGGGCCGTACTTCTCTATGTGCCTCTTCACTTGGTCCGGGGTGAGGCCCGTCGTCTCGTTCACCCCAAAATAGGCCAGACATTCCTCCGTGCTCTTGGCGTGTGCAGCCTCCATGGTGCTCCCTTTCTGGGGGCCAGGGGGCGGTGTTCCTTCTGGGGGGGTTCCACGTGTGGGGGGCCTTCCTCAGCGTGTCCACCTGCCTGTTTGTCTGGGTTTCCTCCTTTTTGTCTCCTGCCCCCCCCAGACTTTTCTTCCCTCCACGAAGCTCTGACCCCCGTCCCACTTGCAGCAGCTGGCCACCCCCCCCAGCCCCCAGCTGGTCCTTATGAGGGAGTGGGGGGGGCAGGCTCCCCCCTCCCCCGGATCAGGGATTGGCTGGCAGAGGCCCCGGCAGGAGGGGTCAGAAGAGAGACATTTCTGCTGACAGAGGGGGAACCGTGGGGCTGCAGCCCGAGGTGTCACTCAGAGGGAAGCTGAGGTGGCCCAGCCCCAGGGGAGGGGGAGGGAGGGACTCCACTTGTCTGCTGCTGCTGACCCCTCCCCCAAGTGCCTCGACTTCCCCGGTGGCACCGAATTTCCTATTCCAAACCCATCCCTCCGGTTCTTCCCCGCACCCCACTTCTATCCTGCCCTTCACCGCTCCCTCTCCTCACCCCTGCCCGTCTCACCCACCGGCCCTGTCTCCTGCCGCTCTCCTTCCTCACCCCGTTGGCTTAAAGGCCAGCAGATGCTCCGGCCTGAGGGTCCCTAAGGAGGGGAGGACATCCTTTGGGGCCAGAGGAAGTGGCTCCAGGGGAACAAGGGAAGCAGGAGGGGAGAGGGTCAAGGGGACAGAGCAGAGACGGTAACCCTACCCTAGGGAGGGGTTGTGCAGCCATCAACAAGGGATTTAGTGTCCAGGCCTGGTGAGCAAAGCCAGGACTGCCTGTCTCTCCCCTCAACTCCCCCCTCCATCGCTCTCACCGAGCCTCTGGGAACACAGCCTCCAGCCCCCCCTTCCCCGACAGTGAATCCCCTCCCAAGAAAACGGGATACCGGCGGGCGGGCGGGCTGCAAGGTAACCCAAGAGGCTAGGGAATGTGCTGATGGCAGAGGGGGAGCGATACATGTTTCAGGATGGGGGTGGGGTCACCCCAATCATGGAATAAGGGTTATTTTATCCCACACGGCTCTCTGCAGCCCAAGGGGTTTACCTGGCAGACCCCAGACAGCCTGTCGGCAGCCACCTGGCCCCGAAGGATCTGTCCTCACAGGGCGGGCGGCGCTGTGCTCAGGCCGGGCCGCCCCGCGGCGAGAGGCCTGACAGGCGCATCCAGGCGGCAGGAGAGGGGCTGGGGAAGCCGGATAAATACAGCCGAGCTCCAGACCCAAGGCGTGGGGAGGGCGGGCTGATGGGGACAGGACCAGGGGAACTGAGGACAGAACAGAGCTGCGGGGTCAGAGGGAAGTCTGAGGAGCAGGGGGAAGGGACAGCGGGGGGCTGGCATGCGGCAGCCAGGTGGGTGGGGGCCCAGGGCTGGGTGCAAAGCCACAAGCTGTTGCTGAGCGGCCGGCCTTGGTGTCAGCTTCCTGGGAGAAGCAGCTGCTCTGGAGGAGCAGGCGGGCAGCACGGGTGAGAGGGGGGAAAGGGTGGAGGGGCTTCATGGGGAAAGGTCGGGGGAGGGGGGGGAAGCAGCCTCCTGACCCTGACCTCAAGGCCTTCCCTGCGTTAGGCCTCAGTTTCCTGGAACGGTGAGGACTACAGACTCCTGCTGGGTTCTGGCTGGGGTGGGGGCACAATGGCATAGGGGGCAGCGAGGCCAAGGAAAGGGAAGGCGCACTTTCGGGGCGTGGCTAGGCCAGCAGGATGGGTTAGGTCCCCCACACTCATCCCTCCAGGGTGAGTTAAGGACACGGTGCTTCCCCCTCTTCATGGTCCCAACAAAGCCCACCTCAAGGCAGAATCCTGCTATGAAGGGGGAGGGGACTCAAACAATGGCTGAGGTTCACCCACAGGCACCTCCACCTGGCCCCCCACCACCATCCTCTTAGGCCACCAGGCTCAGCATCTGCCAGGCCTTTGGCGCTGGCTGGCCTCCCACCACCACCTGGAGGAGTGACAGGAGCACCGTCTTAAAGGAGCAGGAATGCCCAAACATGGAGAAGGGGGAGAAGACTGGACCCATCACAGCTTCAAGGGAGTTGAGAGCTGAGGAAAGGAGGCAGGCTTTACAGGATGCTGCTGCCAACAGGGCCCTTTAAGGTTAGTCATTCCTGCCTCCCTCCACTTGCCCGAGTGGGGGACGGAAGCCAGAGGCAAAGGATCATCATCAGGGTGTGAACGGGGATGGGTGAGGCTGAGCAACGGGGCGCTCGCTCTCATGGATTCTGCCCACCGCGGGCCTCCAAGCGAGTTGGTGCTCCCTTCCCGTCTCGGATGCTCAGAACGAGGGAGGGGAGGTCTAATGCTGAAGGATATGGAGACAGAGCCTGGCCAATCCCTGACCAGTTCCGAACTCAAGTTGAACCACCCAGAAAGGACTACAGGGAAATCGTCTCTTAGGCTCCTCCGGATGGGACATGCAAATCCCCGTACCGCCTCAGCCATTCAGCAGACAGGCCCAGAGGCCTGCCAGTGTAGGCGAGGGGAGCCTCGCGGCACCAGTTGCTGCTAGATCAGGAGGGGATCAGGCCCTACACTGCCTACACTGGGTGCCATGGTCTTTCCTCACCATCTCACGTTTATTTTTATTTATTTTTTATTTTTAAAAATATATTTTATTGATTTTTTTACAGAGAGGAAGAGAGAGAGAGAGGGATAGAGAGTTAGAAACATCGATGAGAGAGAAACATCGATCAGCTGCCTCCTGCACACCCCGCTCTGGGGATGCGCCCGCAAGCAAGGTACATGCCCTTGACTGGAATTGAACCTGGGACCTTTCAATCTGTAGGCCGACGCTCTATCCGCTGAGCCAAACCGGTTTTGGCACCATCTCACATTTATAATACAGCACCTAGATCCCTAAACCATCCTCACCCTAACAAGGCCAATTCCATCCCCAGTCTCCTAAGGCCAAGGTTTGAGGGAGTCCCAGGGCTTAGATAGAACTGGGAGAGCCAGCAGGCTTCCCCGGCTAGCCCAAAGCCCGATGGCCTGAGCCCAGCTGTCTCCTGTCCATCTCCCAACAGGACAGGCCCAGAATAGCAAGGTCATAAGCATGGGTAGGGCCACGAGATGGGGGCAGAGGCTGAGGGGCGTGGAAAAAAAAAGGGAGAGGCAGAATAAGAGGCAGTGCTGGAGGGAGGTGGGGAGGGGAGAGGGCCATGGCTGGTGTGCTCAGTGGTTAGTGTTGGCCTTCTCATGGAAAGGTCTTGGGCTCGATTCCCCATCAAGGGCATGTACCTGGGATGCAGGTTTAATTCCCAGCCCCAGTTGGGGCATGTGGGAGAGGCAACCAATGTCTCTCTCACATCAATGTTTCTCTCTCCCCCTCCCTTCCACTCTCTAAAAATCAATGTGAGGTAAGGATTAACAACAAAGGTGAGTCTTCAGGATCTGGTCCCTCCTTGTTGGCACCCGCCACCCGCAGCGCTGGGCGGCCCAGGGGGCCTTCCACTGGAGAACACAGCGCAGCCCCCAGAGCAGAGCCGGGGCTGGAGGACTTGGACGGGAGTGGGAGGGCCTCAGGGAGGGCAGGAGACGTTGCAAACTCAATACAGGGCAGCACGTCATGTGAGTGGTCCGCGGGGATGGTGATGCGGAAGGTGGACCAACCGCATGAGGCTGGATCATCTGATTTTCACGAAAAGCCAATAATCTGAACTTTTATGTCAAGTTTCAATGGAAACATTATCCAGGTCAAGCGATGTCAGCAGCTCCCGCCTGTTTTGTGGATGGGTGAGGAGGTACATGGACCCCTCCACTGAGGCCGGAGCGGAGTCTGACGGAAGGGACAGCAAACGAGGCAAAGCCAGTGCTCTCTGCCATCTACCCTCCACCTCCCAGCCTGGCCGCGGCCCCTCTGCAGCCACAGCCCCACGCCGTCCCAGGCGCACGGCCTCTGCCAGCTTTCTCCGAGGCAGGAGGGGTCCTTGGAGATCGCCGATCCTGCTGCTCACTGTCCTGTCCCGTTAAGAGAACTTGCCCGGAGACCCCGAGAAGCGCGGTTTGGCTCTGCACTCACTGCACATCACACAGGACAATCCCGAGAAGCAATGGACAGAACGTGCGGGACTAGGGAGCAGCAGGGACTTCATGTGACCAGCCCTCTGGCTGCTCCGCTCTGGGGCCACAACACGAGGGGGCTACCTTCCTGACCCGTCCATCCCAGCCCCACTGCAAACACCGCCACAGTCACCACGCGAACTGAGATAAACCCCTTTATTTATTTATGCTTCTCCATTTTGTTTAAAACAACAACAACAACCACCTTAGTATTAACTGACAGCCCTTCCCCCTCACCCCTCCTTGGGCTGGGGGTAGACAATGGGGAAATGGCCCCCAGGGGCGGGGCTGGCAGAGAGCCCCTCGGAGAGGTAATGGGGCCCCAACCCCCTCCCCAGGGGACCCGCACCTGTAGTGTATGAACTGGGGAGTGAGCGGGACTCTTGGCCGAACCTCTTCTTGTACCAACATATATGCCCTTGGCCCTCAAGGGTCAGGACGCATATGGGGAGGGGACGCCTTCCGCTCCTCTAGGTGCCTGCTCAGCCCGTCTCAGGAACTGAGGGCTGAGGACCAGAAAGCGGAGAAAGGGTGGGGGTAGGGTGTCACACATAGGAGTACTGGTTATTAATGGCTCTGGGGTGGCCCCCCTCTTCTCCATCGCCCCCTAGTGGTAACTGCTGGAGCTGCACCATCGGCGTTGCTTCAGGGACCCCACCAGATCCAGGGCCTCCCTGGACCTCCATGTCTGGTGTCATGGCCGCTTCCAATTCAACCACGGGGACCAGCTCAACCGCGGGGACCAGATCTTCCTGGATCCCTCCACTGCCCACTTTCTCTTTCTCTTGCCTCTCTTTGGCTGCTGTGGCTGTTGCTGCTGCCACTTCTGACATCCCCGACGCCTCTTCTGCCCCAGGATGTGGGGGATCTGTCCACGAGGGGGGCTCAGGGGGTGGGGGTGGGCCGTGGGCCGTGTTCGGTTCTGCATAGGAATGGAAAGAAGACAGACTAATTGTGGAGGGAGGCGAGCTCTTGCAGCAGCCTCCCCCTCACTATCCCCCCCAGGAGCCATGTGCTATCTCCCCACATCCCATCTTCTGAGCACCCCCTCCATGAGAGATGGATCATGGCGGAGGTGAGAGGAGGACCACACTTACACACAGTCACTCGCTCCGAAGGGCATGAGGGTGGAGGAGGCATCGGGGTAGCATCGGTCTCCCTCGCACACCCCTGCATGGCTCCCGGCCTGCTCTCGGCCTGGGGGGAGGGGCAACGTGGGGACAGATGGGACGTGGGGGCGGGGAAAAGGGAGAGATCAGACAGGGACATCCAACATTAAGGGAAGAGGGAGGGGGATCAAACAGCATTCCCCAGAAGGGCAGGCTCAAGGCAAGGAGATGAGGAAGGGCAAGACAGGGGGGTGTAACTAGGAGACAGACAAATGATGGAACAGAGGAGTCTGATGGAATGGGAATGCACCAACCCACTCTCCACTTCCTCCCTACCTCCTCGGCATACTTTTTTCCCTTTGAAACCCAACGCACAGCCCCTTCTCTCCGCACAGCCCCTTCTCTCCGTCCCCCCAACAAAGCCTCTCCTCTTCACATGCCCCGCCCACCTTTCTGGCACACACACCTCACTTCTTGGGTGCACGGGCACCTCCTCCCCTGCAGACCTGCTCTGCTCACCCTGCTGCCGCTGGGAGGACACAACATAGCTGCCAAGGACAACGTCGCTGGGGCCTCCAGACTCCAGAGGGATGGGGTGCACCCGGAAATGCTTGAGCATATCAAAAATGGACTGGAACCACAGGTGCTGGACCCGGCACTGACCCTCCTCATTCAGCGACAGGCGCAGGTGCTGAGGGCAGGAGGAGCGAGGTGAGGCAGGGGCCCGAACAATTTCCCGATGGCCACGGTCCCCACTCCGCCCGCCAGCTCCCTGCGGAGCACGGCCTTTCCTCGGTCACTCACCTTGGCCTTGCCCTGGAAGTTGAAAGTGAGGACGTATTCGCCCCGCCTCGTCTCACTCTGACGTACCAGGAAAACACCATGGGAGTCGGTGCCTCCGGCCAGTACTAACTGGGCAGCCTTGAGTCGAGAGAGCATCCCGTGGAACCAAGGATACCCTGAGAGGGGCTGCTCCCCCTCACCTCCCTCCGACTCCCCCTGGAACAGGAATGACCCTTCAGGAAGGAGAGAGGGAGGGAAACCTGGGTGTCAAGGAAGCCTCCCCCATCCTGGGAGAAAAGCCTGGCTTCCCCTTCCGGGGTCACTTCCCGCCCCCGGGGCCGCGCCCTCCGGCTCCCAGGACGGGGTTCAGGAGGTGGGCAACCACGCCTGCAGACACACACTCACACTCTGGTACCTGTGGCTGTTTCTGGAGTGTCCAGGGACGGGTAGGGGGTGGGGAGGGGATGACTTGTTCCCGCCGGGGGTTCCTCTTCAATGGGGATGCGGGGTGGCAACTCTGGGGGAAGCAGTTCCATGGAGTCAAAATGGGAGGCAGCAATGGAGGCGGAGCTGGGGGAGATGGACGCTGAAGGGCGGTCTGAAAGGCCCCCATATGCCCCTGGAAAAAAACAGGAAGGCAAAGTTGACAACTGGAGAAGCTCATTATTATTATTTTTTTAAACATACTTTTATTGATTTCAGAAGAGGAAGAGACAGGTAGAAACATTCTGTATAATAAAAGGCTAATAGCCGTAAACGCTTTGGCTCAATGGATAGAGCGTCGGTCTGCTGACTGAAGCAGGTCAAGTGCATGTACCTTGGTGGCGGGCACATCCCTGGTGGGGGATGTGCAGGAAGCAGCTGATCAATGTTTCTAACTCTCTATCCCTCTCCCTTCCTCTCTGTAAAAAGTCAATAAAATATATTTTTTAATAATGGCTAATATGCAAATTGTCCCTTCGACTGGGAGTTTGACCAGGGGACGGGGCCAGCCAACTGCCTGAAGCCCCTCCCCTCCCACCTGGCTGATCAGGGCCGGCCAGACCCCACCTGTGCATGAATTTGTGCACTGGGCCACAGTCAATAATGAGAGATAATCACTGACCAGCTTCCTTCTGCACACCCCCTACTGGGGATTGAGCCAGCAACCCAGGCTTGTGCCCTTGCCCCGAATCTAACTTGGGACCCTTCAGTCCGCAGGGTCTGAACACTCTATCCATTCAGCCAAACCAGCTAGGACTGGAGAAACTGCTCTTTGACAGGTGTGGTTTGCCTGGGCCACCTCCACTAGCCCGCCCTGGACTGGCAGGGTCAGCTGGCTGAAATGCTGGATCCTGCTCCAGGGAGGGACCCGGATATTTTCCCATCAATGGCTAACTTAGGCTGCACACACTGCTCAGGGATTAGGTACTGAAGGAAGGTCCTAGAATCCAAAAGTGCTTCTACCTCTCTTATTGCTGTTAATCCTCACTGAGGATATCTCTTCATGGATTTTTATTTTTTTAATCTTCACCCTAGGATATTTTTTCCATTAATTTCTAGAGAGAGTGGAAGGGAGGGAGATGGGAAGGAGAGAAGAAGGGAGAGGGGGAGAAAGGGAGAGAGAGAAACATCAACATGAGAGAGGCATTGATCGGTTGCCTCCAGCATGTGCCCAACCGAGGCTGGGAAACCTGCAACCGAGGTACCTGCCCTGGACCAGGACTCAGACCTGAGACCCTTCGGTCCCAGGCCAACCCGCTAACCACTGAGCCAAACAGGCGAGGGCTCCACTGATTTTTAGAAAGTGGAAGGGAAGGAGGAAAGGGGAGAAAGAAACATCAACGTGAGAGACACATCGATTGGCTGCCTCCTGCACCTGCCCAGACCTAGACAGAGGACCAAACAACCTGCAATTCAGGTGTGTGTTCTTAACTGGAAACCGAAACCCAACCCACTGGTGTGAGGGCTGATGCTGTCACCACTGTCACACTGGCCATGGGGCCTCCCTCCATCTTTTGAATTGCTAGTAGAAATGGAGACAAATATTTTTGCATTAAAAATGGGTCCCCACCCTAGCTGGTCTGGCTAAGTAGGTAAGAGTGTCAGCTTGCAGACTGAAGGATCTCGGTTCGATTCCAGTCAAGGGCGCGTACCTTGGTTGCGGGCTCAACCCCTGGCCCTGGTCAGGGCGCGCGTGGGAGGCTACCAATTGATGTGTATCTTTCACATCGACGTTTCTGTCTCTTCCCTTCCCTTCCACTCCCTCTAAAATCAATGGGAACATGTCCTCAGGTGAGAATTAATAGAACAAACAAACAAAATTTTTAAAGGGGGTCTCAACTTGACCAGCCAGTGTGGCTCAGTGGTTGAGCATCGACCCATGAACAAGGAGGTCATGGACAGCTTTCCATCAGGGCACCTGTCCAGGTGCACGCTCCAGCCCCAGTAGGGGGCATGCAGGAGACGGCCGATCAAGGATTCTCTCTCTCTCTCCCTTCCTCTCTCTGAAATCAATAAAAACATATTTTTTGAATGGAGGTCCTGCCCAGACCCTGGTAAAATAAAAAAAAAGGGAGGGGTCCTTTTTTTGATCAATAGGACAAAGCCTCCAGTTCTCAGAGGCATCAAAGATCCTCTTTCTATGCCCTAGCCGACTTGGCTCAGTGGATAGTGTTGGCCTATGGATCAAAGGGTCCCACGTTCGATTCTGGTCAGGGGCCCATGCCTGGGCTGGGGGCTCGGTCCAACATGCAGGAGGCATACAACGATTCCCTGTCATCATTGATGTTTCTGTCTCTCTCTCAAATCAATGAAAAAGTTTTTTTTCAAAAAATCCCCCTTCTATGCCGAAGCTGGTTTGGCTCAGTGGTAGAGCGTCGGTCTGCGGACTGAAAGGTCCCAGGTTCGATTCCGGTCAAGGGCATGTACATTGGTTGCGGGCACATCCCCGGTGGGGGGTGTGCAGGAGGCAGCTGGTCGATGCTTCTCTCTCATCGACGTTTCTAGCTCTCTATCTCTCTCCCTTCCTCCTCTCTGTGAAATATCAATAAAATATATTAAAAAATAAAAAAAACAAAAAATCCCCCTTCTAGCCCTGATCCTCTTCTCCTCTGAGCTCCCAAGGCACTTTCTTCCTGCTCGCGCTGCTCAGAGAACACCAAGCACAGACTCTCCGTTTTAAAGTCCTGCTTTTTAGATGTCTTGTCTGCTCAGCTAGACTGTGAGCCCCTGGAGGGCAAGGAGCTAATTTCAGGCATGTCTGCATCCCCCATCTTGCCCGAGCCTGGCACAGAGCCAGGTGGGTACTAGGGCATTCCCGAATGTCTGCTGAGTGGCAGGCGGGAATGCTGTCCACAGTCACCGCTCGGATGAGGATGTGTGCAGCTGGCAGAGCCCATCTTTGGTAGTGACTCTCAGGTGACATTGGGAAAGCCATCTCTCCTCCTTGGTGTTAGCTGCCTGAGAACCGAGGGGATTAGAACTGATGGCTAGTAAGGTCTGTTCTAGCTTTAAGATTCTATCATCCGTTTTACTCACCGCACACAGCCCGCAGTTATATGCTAGGCACTGGGACACTGAAGCTCAGAATGGCGGTCACGAGGAAAGGGTGTAGTGGAGTCTAGAAAGGTGAGCGGGATCAGGGAGATTTAGTCTCTGTGCCTGTGTGTGTGGGTGAGGGTATGGATGTGCTCAGTCAGGTAAGAAGTACCGGCAAAACAAAACGTGTCGTTGACACGTGCATAGAGACACAGAGTAAGAGCAAGACAAAGTGTGTTCTGGAAGCCTGGAGTCGAGAACTATATCTGCAGCCAGAGTGTTGTCTGCACCAGGCTTAAGGGAAAGGTGAAAGGCTGGACAGGGAAGGCGGCGAGGGGTTTCCCTGGAGCTTGTGTGAGTGGTGATGCTGACGGTCCTATCTGTGGCTCAGCATGTTCCGGGACAAAAGACAAACACTGGAGGGTGGGGTGGGCAGCTGAGGGCAGGAAGGCTCACGCTCGAAGGCTGCCTTACCCTGTGACAGGCGGTCGTTGCTCTCGCTGGGGCCCAGCAGCAGGTCCTGGCTGGGCAGACTCTCCGAGTGGTGCAGGCAGGGCGGCTCCAGGCTGTCTGCGTTCTCTCTCGTCAGAAACGAGGTCGCAGGGGCCAGCGGGAGGGTCATGGGGTGGGGACTGGTAGCAGGGCAAGGCCTGCAGGGACAGGGAAATGGTGCTGGCGGGAATGTCGCCAGGGGAGAGCCAGGCTGTCCCGCCCCAGCCCCGGCTTCCTCAGTGCAGAAGTGAGGGTCCTCACCCCGGGCTCAGGCATTCTTGGATGTCAGACACCCAGGCCTTCACGTGTGGAGCGTCCGCTGTCTCCAGGATGTACTCGGAGGAGCCTTCCACCTACGGGACAAGAGGCGGTCCAATTGCCAGTTCCCAAGGCCTTCAGGCACCCCCGCTGAGAACAGAACTTCCTGCCTCTCTCCCCGGCCCCCAGAGGAGCTGTAGCTTCAGGGACCTGCGCTCAGGGAGCCTGACGTGCATGCACCTCCTCCCACCAGCGCCCTGGCTCTCCTGTACTGAATGCTTTCTTCCCGACATGAGTGCTCCTGGGGCGGGGGGCTCCCGGCTCCCACCTTAACCACAAACGTGTTCTCGCGATCCGGCATCTCCAGGGCGGTGGTTGCCCGCACGTCTGTGATGGTAGAGCAGGGGATGCTGAGCCGAGGCCGAGACGCCTAGGTTGGAAGAGAACAAGATCCAGAGCTTTGGTGGTAAAGACCATGTTCCCCTTCCCTCCATCTTTCCTTCTACAGCCTAGGGGATTGGACAGAAAGGAGTAACACTCCTCTTTCAGTCCTGCTCAGAGTCAGGAGCTAGCTTTAAAAAAACAAAGCCTGAGAAATATTCAAGGTGATAAGTAGTAAGAACCTACAGCCAAAAATAATCTACCCAGCAAAGCTATCACTCGGAATCGAAGGCCAGATAAAGAACTTCACTAATAAAAAAAAGCTAAAGGAGTTCATCACCACCAAACCAGAATTATATGAATTGCTGAAGGGGGTTCTTTCGGAAGAGAAAGTAAATAAAGATAAAAATTATAAACAACAAATACGTAACTATCAACAAGTGAATCTAAAAACCAAGGAAATTAAAAAAAAATCTGATGAACAATATTAACTGGTGAATATAATAGAATCAGAGGTATGGAAGGGGAGTGAACTGACGATTTTTGGGGAAGAGGGGAGAGGGGGATGTGGGAAGAGACTGAACATAAACTGTGCACCTATGGATGAGGACAATGGGGGTGGGGAAAGGGCAGAGGGTGGGGTGGGAACCTGGTGGAGGAGAGCAATGAAGGGGGGAAAGAAAGAGGAACATTTATAATAATATGAACAATAAGGATTTATTTAAAAAAAACATTCAATGAACAGTGCTGTTTTTTTAATCAGAAAAAAAACACCACAACAGCAACAAAGCCTGGCTGGTCTGGCTCAGTGGTCGAGCATCAACCTATGAACTAGGGTCACGGCTGGATTCCGGGTCGGGGCACACGCCCCGTCTGTGGGCTTGATCCCCACTAGGGGGCATGCAGGAGGCAGCTGATCAATGATTCTCATCATTGATGTTTCTACCTCCCTCTCCCTCTCTGGGATCGATAAAAATGCAAAAGACAAACAGAAAACAAAGGAAGCCAAGCTATGCGTGTGGGCTGTTACCTCTGGCAGCTCACGCACCCTCCCAGTCACCCTCCTCGGGGTCTCACCTTGGGAGGCACAAAGAACTCCAGGCGGCTTCCTCCTCCTCCGTCTCCTTCACTTCGAAGCAGCAAGCGACACTTCTGCCAGGGCGGCTGCCCTCCTGCCCCGGGGGCGGGCCCCGCGGCCCCCCCGCCTCGGCCCACGCCCACGCCCACGCCCGCCGGGTCGGGGGCTGCCTCCTCAGCCCCCATGTAACTCAGCAGCTCTTCCCTCTGCACCACCCCCGCTCCATCCTTCAAGGCCCCTCCGCCCCGACTGAGCCGCAGCCTCTCGAAACGGTGAGTCCACCTGTCCCCGGGGGACGTCCCGTCACTAGCCAGTCCCCTGCCCACGGCCCCAGCCCCACCGGAGGAGTTGGAGTTGCTGTTGCCCCCTAGCACTGGGGGCCCCGAGGCGGCGTCCGGGGGCCCCGCGGGGGAGGGGGGGTCCGCGGCGCCCCGCCACTGCAGGATGCCCCGGACTGAGCCTCGCACGGAGCGGCCCACTGAACGGAGGGAGAAGCGTTTCTTCAGCTTCGGCTTCGACGAGGAGGAGGACGTAGAAGAGGAAGAGACCGAGGAAGGGAGGGGGCCGGCCAGGTCCTCGGACGATCGAGAAGGGCCCAGCGCAGCCAGAGGCCCGCCCGCCCTGCAGCTCTCAAGGGACAGGTCGTGTGGCGGGCTCTCCACACCGGGACTCAGAGGAGCCGGGACGGGTGGCGAGAGAGAACCGGAGGCCCGGGCCACCTCGGCTTCAAAATGCTGCAGGAAGAGCTCAGCAAAACGGCGGGAGAAGGCGGCCTCGGCCCCGGGGCCTGCATACTGGGGGTGGGAGGCCAGGTACAGGCGGAAACGGCGGGCAAAATCCAGGGCAGCGGCCCGGGCATGGGACTCACAGAACTCCCGCCAGCTAGGGGGAGGGGGCGGTGGCAAGGGAGGAGGAGAGGGGAAGGCCCCGTCCTCCAGGGAAGGGGCACCATTCATGACGGTCCCCAGGAGGTGGCGAGGGGGAGCCTGCGGGGAGGGGCTGCAAAGAGGGAAGCGGCCAGAAGACACGGGGTGAGCGGCAGCAGCTGCAGAAGAAAGAGAGGCACATACACGGCGTCACTGCTGAGGTGGGACTGCGGGCAGAGTCCCACCCGAGCCAGACGCCCTATTCTGGCCCACACCCATCGGAGAGCAAAGGGGAAGAACATCGCCTGCTTCCCTGCCCTTCCCAGGACCCTCGCATCCCACCAGCCCAGTCGACCGGCTCCCCAATGCCTAGCAGCGCCCACCCTGTTGCCTTCCCAACCCACTTTCCAGGCTTCGGTTCCAGGAGTGATAAAGAGCCGTGGAGCACCTTCCTCTAAAAAGCATCTCCCTGCTCTAAGACTGACCCTTGGAGCTTTATCTAGGCTTCGCAGCTGCCGTTCTTACCTTCCCTGTGGGAGATTCTAATCACCTCTATGACAGGTGAGGAGACTGAGGCTCCAGAGCTTCAGGGGCTCGCTGGGCCAGCCTCAGGCATGGCCGCCCCCTGCCCCGTGCTCAGAGGAGCTGGGCCTACAGAGCGCCCAGCCCCTGCCTCGCGTCGCCCGAGAGCCCGCTCTCAGGGAGGATGCTCATGGAGGACGGATGGAGGATGGGTTGGAACAGCAATGGTCTTGAAAGCTGACCCCCGGGCCTAGCACCCAAGCCCTGTGTGGAGAAGGCCTGGCATGGTCACAGCCCACTTCTGTGCCGCCCCTTCCGTCCGGAGCTCGGAGGCAGCAGCACCGGGTGAGCAAAGGCTACGAGGCTGGGTCAGGGCAAGTCTTTGCTGGCCACCAACGAAATAAAACGGGGAGTGGGGGGCCCCGGACGTTTCCCCTCCCCCTGCTCTCACTGGGGAGTGCGCCCTAAAGGCTGGCGAGTCTGCTGGCTAAGGCCATGGGCTATGGAGTCAGACGCCTATTGGCTGTGTAAGCTTGAACAAATGATGTGTCCTCTCTGAGCCTCAGCTCTGTATCTATCGGGAGAATTAAGTAGAATACACCAGTGCTTGGCACAAAGTAAGCGCAAAACGAACGACTACCATTACTGCTATCTTTATGGGTTCCAACCTTCTAAAAGAGAATTAGAGAAGGAAGAGATTTCCCGAGGCCTCACACCTAGCAAATGGCAGAGCTGGACACGGAATTTAGTGCTCCTCCCCCATATTATAGCGGACAATGGCACCAGGACTGCGGGGAAGGCAGCTTAGGAAGGTCTCCCCGAAACCTCAGACTCCTATTCAGACCCGCGGTCAGCACCCCCTCCCCGTCCTCCTCGGACTAGGCCCTACACGCTCAGATGCTCCGAGCACAGGGACCATCCCAAACCGACGCCAAGGAGCCAGGAGACGCCAGAGTCATGGAGCACAGGGGCCCGAGCCAAGAGGTGCGGACACAGAAGAGAAGCCGATCTCCAGGCACAGGCCCCTCCGCTCCAGGCCCACCCCGCCGTCCGCGCCACCGGCGGCCCCGGCGCCCTCAGGCCCGCGGACCCTGCGGCTCCCGAGCTGGTGACTCAGTTTCTCTCCTGTCACACAGGGCTCAGACCCATCTGCCCGGTGCACCTGCCTCTTGGCTCGGTTCTGATATTCCCCGAAGGGCGGGTGGCGGAGGGTGCAGGCTCCGCTCCCGGCGTGGACCTTCGGGACCGCTGCAACCCACCGGCCCGACCCGGCTCCCCGGACACCCTCTACCCACCCATCCCCTGGGGCCGCAGTCTCCTGGGGGCCACCCCGCCTCGGGCACTCCGCGCCGAGCGCCCCCCTGCCGCGGGGGCCCCCACGCCCGCTCCCACCCGGGGCTTCTCGGAGGCGCAGGCCGGGTCTCGGAGAGGAAAGGAGGACTTGGAGAGGGGGGTTCCGGTTCCGGTCCCACCTGCATCTCGGTCCCCGCGGTTAGCTTCGGCGGCGGCGGCAGCTCCCGCTCCCTGCCCCTCCCCCCACCCCGCGACGGCCTCCCAGCCCGGCTCTGCGCAGGCTCCGGGACCCCTTCCCGTCACCGGAGGAAGCGACCATAGAGAAGAGCGGGAGGGAAGGGCGCCTGCGCGCTCACTTCCGCCATCCCCCCCCCCACTCCGCTCCGCTCCGCCCTGGGGTCGGGGAGGGTGCGCTTCCGGAGGCCTCGGGCACGCCGGGGCCCCTGGGAGGGCTGCGTCCCGCTGAGGGAATTGGGGACCCAGGAGAGCAGTCAGCCTCGGGAGCCTCTCCAGGGGGCAGAGCCGCGAGGCCGGCTGGAGGCTAGAGGGGCCCCGGGCCGGCGAGCTGAGGCGGCTTCTCGGGGGGCCCGCGCGCGGCCGCCTAGAGCGCCTGGCCGGGCGGCATCCCCGGGAACTGGTCCCGGGAAGATCGGGGTGACCTTGGTAAGGCCCGGCGAGGAGGCGGGGCCTGAACTTGCGCCCTTGCCTTCTCTGAGGAAACGGACTAGAGGGTCCATCTCCGAGTTGGGAAGTAAAGGCAGGGCTCGGGGAGAGAACCAGAAGTAATGTCAGGAAATGAGGGAAGTGGGCCTTAATATTCCAACACCAACACCCCTTAACTGTTGACCAAGGGTTTCCCCTGGGAGATGTCAATTCCAAGGCAAAGCCTCCAACATTCCTCAAACAAAAACAGAAAAGAAAAACCACCTGCCAAGACCGGTTTGGCTCAGTGGATAGAGCCTTGCTTGGCCTGCGGACTGAAGGGCCCCCGGGTTCAATTCCGGTCAAGGGCATGTGCATTGGTTGTGCGCACATCCCCAGTGGGGGGTGTGCAGGAGGCGGCTGATCAATGTTTTTCTCTCATCGATGTTTCTAGCTCTCTATCCTCCCTTCCTCTCTGTAAAAAATAAATAAAATATATTTTAAAAAGAAAGAAAGAAAGAAAAACCACCTGGAAGTTCTGTTAGAAACCACGCACCAAAGACCAGGGGTGCAGGGGTTGTGGGAGTATAGAGTGTATGTGGGGAGGGACAAAAACATGAGAAACAGAGCCCCGTAACGCTGCTGTTGTCTTCTCTAATGACTACCATTGCTGAGTGGCCTTGGTGAGAATAATTTTAGGGAAGTGGTGGAGGCAGAAGCCAAATGGTAGAGGGTGAAGAACAAATGGAAGGTGAATAAGGGGGAGGAGGGACGTGGAGAACTGTCGCACAGTTCGACCAAAAAGGGAAGGAAAGAGATACTGTGGGTTGTAGTTTGAAAGGGAAGAAAAGGTTTGCCTGTCTATATCCCAAGGAAGACCTAATTATGCCAAAGTCCAAGGAGAAGGGAGCCAGTAGGAAGGATGGGATGAGTTTGGGGAAGGAGGGAAGGATGGGACCCAGGGCCCAGGCTAAGCCCAGATAGGAATAAGGAAGAGAGAAGCACGTCTTCCTCGGAGGAGGGCATGTACTTCTCCGGACGCTTTCAGCCACAATGGAACTCCAATTTAAGGCTGATTGAACATAAAAGGGGGAGGAGAGTTTGTTGGTTCACAAAATTGAAAAATCAAAGATAGAAGCCAAAAGCTCAAACAGTGTCCATTTGCACTTGGTCTCTTTCTCTCAGTTCTGCTTTTTTCCTGGACGGTCTTCATTCTCAGGCAGGTTGTCCCTCAGAGGTAGCAATGTAGCTGCCTGCAGCTGCAGGCTTCCCAGAGTAACAACCCTAGCAGAAAAAGGTCCTAGCTTTCCCAACAGCTCCAACAAAGACAGTCGGCTTGAATTTCATCAGCTCAGCTTGGGTCACCCAACAAACATCTGTATAATAAAGAATTTGTCTGATCTTTATTCCGTGTTCCTGGCACAGAGGATTAAAAGAACTTGGTATTTCCAGAGTGATAGAAGTGTCTGTCATTCATGAGCCCCTTAGGTGACCCATGGCAAGCCCCTAAATATCTTTAGGATGGGGGCTGGTCACCACAAAGACCAACGTTGCAATAAGAGGGTTGGGATTTGGGGATTTGGGGATTTTGCACCAGCTCAGCATCCAAGGAGGGAAGGGAGGGAGCCTGGAGATGGTGTTCAGTCACATAGTAATGGTTGAATTAGTCATGCCCAGTAAGTACTCTGGACAGTGAAGCCTAACCAGTTCTTCCTGGTTGGTGGATGCATTGATGTTCCAGGAGGATGCTATGCTGACTCCCTGGGGAGAGGGAATGGACGCTCTGTATTTGGTGCCTCCCAGACCTCACCCTCTGTGTCTCTTCATTTGGCTGTCCTGACTTGGTTATAAAACGAATTGTAAATAAATAAATAAATAAATAAATAAATAAATAAATAAATAAAATGAATCGTGAAGCATAGCACTTTCCCGCATTCTGAGCTGTTCTAGCAAATATCAAACGGAGTGAGGGTCATGGGAAACTCCCAGATCTGTAGCCAGTTGGTCAGAAATGCAGGGGGCTGGGGCACTCCACTTGCAGCTGGCATTTGAAGTGGGGGAAGTCTTGCCAAGGACTGAGCCCTTACCTTGTGTCTTTGCTAACTTCGGGCAGATAGTGCCAGGACTGAACTCCATTAGTACACTAGTTGGGGTTGAAGCAGAGTACTAACCCTGAACCAATACTTGTAACCAGAGGGATAGACTATGCTGATTTGTAAACTCTGGGTCACGGACCCAGTTGAGATTGGGATGGCTCTTCAAAGGAAACACAGGGTCTGGCTGAAGGGAAGTGGTAGCTTGTGGGATTCTTTTGGAGGTCATCCTGACCCTCACCCCAAGAGGAGGGGATTTCTTGTATTTTGTCTTCTTTCACGGGATGTCAAAATCAGCTTGGTGCTTTGGCCTCGACCTCCTGGCCCTCCAAATCATACTCTGTTCTGTCAGGACAGTTTGACAGCCTAAAGTACTCAGGCTTTGCTTCGGCTCTGCCTCTGAAGGACACACACCATCTCCCTCACTGCCGTCCATCTTCTTCCCTCCCTGGCCCAGACCCTGGTTGGGGTGGGTGCAGCAGGCAGCCAATCAATATGTTTCTCTCACATGGAAGTTTCTCTCGGTCTTCCACTCTTTCTAAAAGATCAATGGAAAAATATCCCCAGGTGAGGATTAACAACAACAACGTCAGCCACTGAGGTGGAAACCGTGGTGGGATGTTTGTTGAACAGAGTGATGGTGAGTGTGGCTGGGAGGGAGGGAGAGGTAAATCATACTATATGGGCCAAGGAGGTAGGCAGGGGCCAGATCATGCAGGTCTGTAGACCACAGGAGTTTGGATTCTTTAATAACAGCTTTAATTATGATATAATTTATTTAATTATGATATAATTTAAATTGTGATATAATTTACCTGCCATACAGTTCATCCATTTCAAGTATGAGTTTTATTTTTATACCAAGTGTCATAAGGAGTCATTGAAGGGATTAATTTTTCACCCATATTTTAAAGACTGATGTGGCTGCTGAGGGGAGGATGGGTTTGACAGGTATTGAGACTAAAAGGAGAAGCTGTTGCCCTACCAGCATGGCTCAGGGGGCACCTATGAACCATGAGGTCACTATTCGATTCCCCATCAGGGTACATGCCTAGGGGAATGACTAATTCAACCATTGCCATGTTGTGGGCTCGATCCCCATTGGGGGGCATGTGGGAGTCAGCCAAGCAATGATTCTCCCCCACCCCCCACTTTCTCTTTTAAAAAATATATTTTATTGATTTTTTGCAGAGAGGAAGGGAGAGAAAGAGTTAGAAACATTGATGAGAGAGAGTCATTGATCAGCTGCCTCTTGCACACCCCCTACTGGGGATGTGCCTGCAACCAAGGTACATGCTCTTGACTGGAATCGAACCTGGGACCTTTCAGTTCACAGGCTGATGCTCTATTCACTGAGCCAAACCAGTTTTGGCGATTCCCTCTCTTCATTTATGTTTCTAACTCTCCCTTCCTCTCTGAAAGCAATAAAAGTTTGTGTGTTTTTGTGTTTTTTTAAAGAGTAGAAGCTGAGAGGCCCATTGGAGAACCTATAAGGTAACCTAGATGAGAGACGATCCCATATTGAACCCCAGTGTCCACGGTGGAGATAGGGAGACATGGTCACATTCAGGATGTATCTGGAGCAAGAACCAGCAGGACTGGGTCCTGGTCAGGGGTGGAGGAAGGCGAAGGGTGGATGGCGACGCTGCTTTTGAGAGGTTGGAGGACCGTGTGGAAGAGACTGAGAACCTGTGTTAGATGTGTTAAGTCTGGAGCACCACCCAGTGGCACCCTTCAGTTTGGAAGGCTCATTACTTCAAAGCAAACATCCACAGAGGACTGCAGTGGCCAGGCACAGAGGCTATGGAGACAAAGGAAGCCCAGTCCTGGCCTACTCAACTCACTGTCTCACAAGGGAAACCAAGAAGTATGCCTCAGGTACAAGCACCGTGAGGGTATCTGTCAGGCTACAAATAACAGACAACTCTGACACAGTCTGGGCTACACAAGAAGAACGTTGCCATTACATACCACCCGGAGTCCAGCTTTCTAAGATCCTCGTGACTTTGCCCTCTTCTGGGTTTTGTCTGCATTGTTGCCTGGAAACAAATGGGCACAGGAGTTCTAGGCTTCCCATCCAGACCAGGGACCTCTCAGAATCAAAAGGAGGCCCATTTCTTCAGTGTTTCCCTCTTAAGAATGAGGAAGCCCCATAAGCAGAGCTCTTGCTAATCATTGGCTCCATAGGAGTAGCAATCAACCCTAAACAAACCGCCTGGCCAGGAGAACAGGACTGCCAGAGTGGACCAGACCTGTCAGGA